GGATCGTCTGATTTCGAAAGCACCAGGGACTAGCTGAAATTAATTAATTCTTGATTTTTTACCCACGTGGATCATGAACGTTAAGGGATTGTCTTATAATTGTTTACGACGTAGCAAATGTAAAATTCAGACTGTAAGTTACCATTAAAGTACCTCTTCATCAACAATCGTGATCAGAATCGGTATTCTATCTAATGAACATCAATGCGGAACGTGTGTGCGTCCCGAAACGTCCGGACGCTCTATCGGGGTACATCTCGATACAAATTGGAGTTTTTACTTTTTTAAGTACAAACATACGTGCTCGCGAATATCGTAAACACGTAAATGTAACAAAACGAAAACACGAATGATTAATGTACGTCAGTTAATAAATGCTAAAACACGTGAATACCACAATCGACGAACAATCGATGAACAACGGGTCTGAAAAAATCAAATCTTAATTTCACACGAGCACGCGAAAGCATATAAACGTGAAATAAGAATTACTGAAGTAACGATTGTTACATAGTTATATATAGTCTATACATATAATATATATATATATTGATGAGCAGACACTATGTTCCAACTAGGGCATATATCATATTTCACTATTGTAAATCTCACAACTAATGTCGAATATATAAGTCGCGGCAGTTCGGCCACGACGTCGATCCAATGTAGCTGCACTCCGTATTGTTTTTTATGCAGAAGTCCTTAGACCAGAGGTCGTATTTAAACATGTATATTAAATATTAATAACTGAACTAAATCAATCTATATTTATTTGTAATATTAAAATCTTTTCTTTTATGCTCCCGAACTATAATATATTCAAAAGGACAAGAAAACCTTCAATGAATATCATATATTTAACTGGTCAACCACAACCACGGTACACTGGTACATAAATACGTTTTGAAAAATAAAATAACACACGCATCGCAACGCGTAACACAAGCGCGGCTTGATATCACACGACATTTTTTAAAAGGCACTGCTTCTTATTCTATTGGCTTTACAATTCTTTAAGAATTTTGGCGGCCACTGTTACCGTTCACCAATAATCACGATCCTGGACTCTATTTTCCCAATCCGTCACTTCAAGTGTTTCTAAGTATTTTCTTATTCCATCCGTCCATCGTTTTCTGGGCCTTCCACTTGGTTTTTTCCCCGGTCGGTTGCCATTCGACTGCTGCTCTTGTACTAGTGGTTAGAATGTTGGCTGCATAGCAAGACGAAACCATTTAAGTTTTTGACACTTAATATAGCTTGTTAACAACGGAAATTCAGTGATTTTGCTCAGTTCAGTATTTTTTCTTCTGCGCCTTATTTCACAGTCATAAGTTACCATTGGTCTTATTATGGTCACGTAAAATCTGATCCTGGTTCTTATGGAAAATAATTTTGATTTAAAAAATGTAACGCGTAATACGATCTCTCTGCCTTTCGTATACGACTTATGACTTCGAGATTCCCATTATTGTTGTTAGTAATCGTCGTTCCAAGATACTTAAACTCTAACTTTTTCAAAGGTCATTGATAACGTTCTTACGTGTTTACGGGTCGCAGGGAAGGTTGATCGTAGGGCTAGCAACTCTACATTGTAAAGCATACTGTTAAGAAACCACCAACATTGCCTCGAATAAACGGCACTGCTACGCTAATTTAAAACCGTTGAATATTATAATAATGATATTGTCGTGTGCAGTACGCGCGTGCGTTATTATAGCAAAGCGTTCCCGGCCGTAATGGTGTTAGTGCTCCGGGTGTCCAGTTCAAAAACAGCGTTTTTTTTTTTTTTATTTAAAAATCGTACGCGCGGGCCCCACGTGTAATTTTTACTATTTCTGTAAACACGATCGTGTTGCATTATTATTCTAGACAAACTTCAAGGTTAATTCGTATGTTTTAGTTTAATTATTGTCGTTGTCGTCAGATATTATTATTATTATTATCATCATCATCATCGTCGTCGTCGTCGTCGTCCGTACATTATATTATTATGTTCTCGCCGCCGCCGCCGCGCAGGTATATCATTATCGTGTCCCATTTATTTTTTATACGCACACGGTCGCCGAACGCCCTTCTCCGTGCGCTATTGCACCGGGCGTGTTACAACGTGCGGTTCACGACACGGCCCGTCGACACACCGTTCGCCGCGTGTGATTCCACGTTTTTCGGGTCGCTCCGACAGGATTTCCCGACCACCGCGTTCGCGAGACACGTTGACGGTAGTAGTCAACCCAAAGATAGAACATAATTGTCTTACCGAAAACGATGTAGAATAATAATAATAAATTAAATACAGTAAACTATAGCAATATTCAATACGTGGTGAACGCGAAAAGCCTTAAATAACAGTAAATATAGTTGAAAGATGAAAGTTATTTTCACCGTCACGCATAATAATGCCATTTAGTTTATTGCGATTTCAATAACTCGATCGTACGTCGGGGACGAAACGAAATCGTACGCATTACGACGTATGATCGATGCATACAGCCGTTTGAACGGCGATTGTATTATAACACGTAGAAAAAAGGAGTTCAAACATTTTTTGTTCGGAAATCTTAAACAGAAATACGATAAAGCTGTCCACGGCTGCACTCCGCAGAACTCGACTCTCGCTCGAAAAGCTGAACTGTTACCGGTACGCGTACCGTATTTTTACGTGCGCGTCGTCGGGATTGAGTTCTTAACGTGCGCGTCATGTTTTCGGCGCGAAATTGAAAATTCCGTGGCGGGCGTACAAAAAACGATTTATATCGCGCTCGGGCGTCCGACACGGGGGATGATGGGTAAACACGGGCGGGTAAAACACTCGTGTCGTCGAACAATGTTGGACGAACGATTTATGTTCGCGCACGGTACTGTCGAACAGCGGGAAGCCCGGGAAAACACGACGGCCGATGCGTTAACGATGTTTCCGGAAGCCAAACATTGCGTTGTCGCGAAACCCATCCCGTTTTCGGTAGCCGTTGCCGACAATAACAGTGCGCGCGCGCGCGCTCCCGTGATTAATGAACGAGTGGCCGTGTGTTTATCGCGCGCGCGCACCCCGTTGACTCGATATCGTCCGGAGTAAACAAGTTAAACGGTGCCCAACATCGTTAACGTAATCGTGTCCCGGTAGCGGAGAAAACACTCGTCCGCTGTCGCGTCGGCCATTGTGTCGCGTAACGCGACCGTTTCGAATGTTATTAATAACGTCAACTTGCCTGCGAGCACCTCGGGGCGGACGCGCGTTCGATTAGACTCTCCGTGGCCACCGTTGTGCGGTAATGAACGCGCGTACGTATCGCGGGTGGCGTGCGTTAACGCGGCCGGACTCACGTGGATTTTCTGGCTACCGAGAAACGGTTTTCGTGCTGCTCACCGAATACTATTTCGTGTCCTCACGTGATAAACGAGCATTGTGAGTGTTGCCGGTGATTTATATTCGGATGCGACGCGCAACTGGCCAACGTGCCCGCACCCGCTGTACATGCACTACCCGATGCGCACGGGGTTCTTCGCGTGCAGCGCGTTGGACGGCTAAACGCTTCGCCGGGACAGCGCATAAACTAATCCGAAAATCACTTGTCCTCGTACGTTCGACGCGTGCGTGATAATAATAATAATAATAATAATGCGTTCGGAGGCGCTAATCATATCGTATTAACGGACATTTTGTTGAACGCTCAACTAATATGTTGCAGTACAACCTCGATAAGACGGAACTTTGGTAGGTCAGAAAATATCTTTGGTCCTGTTTCAAATTAGTTCGTCCCGCCAAGACGGAAACGAATACGATTTCGCATTGAAATTGGATGATAACTCCCGCAGAGATGGAAATATAATGTAACTAACAATGACGAAGACTGCGAAGAACCAGAAAATCTGATAAAAGACTACAAAACTGCTGTTCGCTATCTCAAACACCTACGAAAATTCTCTCTAACGGTGTCCAATACTAAGCTTTTGGATTTGACTTTTGAAGGACCAAAGTGTGTGTAGGACGCGATGCCTTTCGAATTGGAAAGCAACTATTAATCACTGACTTTCTCCAAAAAAAATGGAAATTTTATTTACTTAAATTTTACCGTCTAAAAATAATTATTATTTAATTTTTTTTTTTTTCGAACCCCGTCAAAACTGAAACCCCGTTAATTCGGAAAAGTTGAACGGTCTTAAACGATTCCGTCTTGTCGAGGTTTTATCATTTATAATATGCGTGATTATCCCAGCCAACTCTCTCGTTTATTCACGCGTTGACTACACACAAAGTACCGGAGCACTTACGCGCATGATTTAACGGTTACTAGAATTCAATCTTGTAAATTATACACGTATGTGCAGTTAATAATTTAAATTTCGATAGCGTTTTCGTAATTGTAATCATATTTTTTTTTCAATATCGCAAAGCTTTATAACATAATGTATATAATCAAGTGACTAAAGTGTACAAATTGCCTGTACTAAAGTCTACTGTGTACAGACTAATAAATTATTTTTACGGTTTTAATAGAGTATAATGTATTATTGTGAGCAATACTAAGTATAACGTATGCCGTATTGGATATCAATAATTTCTTTACGTCTAGTTATTACCAAATTTATTTCGCTGATTATGCGGAAACATTTAATGAGATGTAAATAAATAAAGCGGTCATGTAATTTATCATGTATCAACGACTTAAGCTAATTCTGTAAACTGGATCTTAAAAATAGCATGTATATTATATTATAATTTATTAATATTAAAATGATTGTATATCACAATGTATAGCATATAAATATATATACACCAACCTAAGCGTCAGATTAATATTTTTAATCGATTACCATGTAAAACCATGTAATATTTTAATTTTTGATTATAGTTTAAAAAAAACTTGTTGTATAAGAGGTATAATAATTTGTTCATTTAAAAAACTATAACTATAACAACTACTATAAGTCTACATCCACGCACTAAGCAATAGTAATATAATCTATTGAAAAAAACAAAAATAAAAATAAATCAAGGTTACCTGATAGTATTCCGTCAATTGAGTAATTACTATGACGATCTGGTCTGATGGTGGTGTCTCTGACTTCTTCTGGACAGTACGAATTACGTTTCGAACAACTTTTCTAAAAAACCATAACACCCAAAATTAGTGTTGTAATAACGGTAATCGACACAATGAATTAAGTATGGCTGGATGAACATCGTACGTAATGTTATTCTCTGTCGAAAAACAAAACGATCGTATTAGATGTTTTCGATATCCGATGCACGTACATTGCGCGTGTGTATATAAATAACGATCGAAACCAAAAATATTATGCAGTAGACTAAAATTATAATGTTTTACATGTAAGTACTGCTAAATCGGTGCCGAAGATCTACGTACAGATAGATAAATCAAATCCGTAAGGATCTCGACGATAACGCGTACATAATGAGTGGAAAAAACTCTATAATATATATATATATATATATATTAATATTATTTTATTATTTTAATGCTATATATATATATAAAGCATTAAAATATACGATGGTATATTGTACGTTAGTTTAAAAATAAGGTTTTTGTTATTTTCGGTTTGATAACGCGTGGACATTATGACTCGAGGCTCGGGGTATCGAACGAGAGCCGCCGCGTGTTGCCGAAACGATCTCGGGATATTTTTACGACCGACTATAAAAAACAATGGGTTACACAGTACGCACACGTACCGTGTGGAGCCTGGCTGTCTGGTGTTGAACAGGTAAGGCGAACAGATGTAAGGAAAGAGAGGAATGTGTCGTACACGCACCCACATACACACGCGCACACATTAACGTGCGCACGTAAGAAACACTCGGGGTCCATTAATTAATAGCGCGCAGGCAGCCCGACGCATGTTGCGGGGGGTCTATTAAAGAGGAAAAAACAGAAATGCCAACAGCTAAAATGATTGATCAGGAATTCCGTGTATATAACGTGGTGTAAAGAAGAAGAAAAAAAAGGTGCAGTTACTAAATATTCATGAGCCGTACACACGAGTTTTTCGTAACGTGTCCCGAAATCCCTTGGAGCAATCGGAAGACACGATGACGATGTCTTCATCATCGCGGCCAGCCCGATTTATTCGCCTTATTGTTTTGTTTCGCCAATAATTTAAATCCAAATACTGTATAATTATGTAAATGGACGCGTGCTAACAGAATAATTTATCTTTAGTTTATCTTCACGCAACGGTTTTTTTAGTGACTCCTAGCTTTCTCACTTTACCGACGACAGCGTTCGAAATCGAAATCGATTTGAGTACGCATGCAACGTTTTGTACATTCGTTAAAGTCACTTATACGCGCTCAAAAGTCTATATCGCGATGATAATGTTACTGCTATCGACAATCCCTGCGGTGCAACGCAATAACAACCCTTAGACGTGCAGTTATATTTTTCGTAACTTAATAAAATATATTATTCTTCTGAACCATGTATGTTCCACCGGGGTGAATGGGGGATAAATGCCCCTCCATGACCTTTTTTTTTAAAAAGTTTTTAATTTTATTTTCAACTGATATTTAGTTATAATCAGGGCTCATAATTTCTAGCGTGTATACATATTTTTTTAGAGGTCCTAGAGATATTTATGTAAGCTACAAATTTGTTCCAGAAAACTAAAAGAGTAAATATGAAATTTTATTTTGCATATTTTTTAATGCTTTTTCGCTTTTTTATGTATCATGGCTTTTTTTTCTTAATAACAAAAAGGACTTGATTTTATCTTGAATATCACGAAACTACCGATATTAAGGATGGATTTGCTTGCTAATGTAATAGTAAGTATACTTGAAGCAGATTATTCGAGATTGGTAAAATCAGAACAATTAGAAAAAAAAAAATTATTGGAATATTTTCAAACAAATCGACAAATCTATTGGAATATAAATATTCAACACGATAACGATCTATTATTTGACGCCACCCCCTATATCGTAGAAACTCCTAATACTTTGAAAATATGTTATTCATAAATAATTCATATTACATTCACGGCTCATAGATTCTACCAAGTAGCAAAATAAGAAAGGATGGAGTTTAGTAAAGTTGACAAACTTATTTCTAGTATCGAAAAAATATTCCGAAAAGTGCCGTATTCAATTCTTTTAAAATGAATCGCCTCATTTAAATTTGCCATCTGAACCTTTTATTACAATTTGAAATACGTGGATCATCGTCTCTAATTACTATTGTGAAAACATTGAAATCATGAGTTGAATAATTGAAAAACTAGATACCAATGATGCTGTTAGTATTGAAAAAGTTAAAAATATATATCCAGAGTATGGGAAAAGATTTGGCTTATAAAAAATCAAATTTTATATCTTTAATTGTTTCCATCACTAAGCTACGAGAACAATGACTACCAAAGTTATACATTTGTTTGGAAATGTAGAAAAAGCATTTGAAACGCTCAATGGATCATCTGGAAAAGGTATTTTCAATAAACTAAGCATTGTCACGCACAAGAATGTCGAACTTAAATTTTAATGATATATTTTAATCACGTTATTGGGTAACAATATAAAAACTGAACTTGAACCTGGACTTCCTAAATATTTCTCAACAAATAATCTTGTGTACTTTAAGTTTACATTTTAAAAAGTAATTTGACTAATTTGAAATGATCATTGGAAAATAATACTTATACTTATATCAAAAATGTTATAATTTGGCCAGTTTGTTGAAATTCGTTTCATAATTTATTTAGTAAATTAAAACTACTGACATGATTTAAAACGAAAAAATTTTCAGAATATAGTTTTCGAATTATATAACTACCTATTTATGTATATACCTATATATATGATATTTTAATGGAAGAAGGTTCTGAACGCTAAATCAGAATAAGTTTTATTCCAATTATCTATTTATAAACATATACAGTTCGCTGATCACGGAAGCTACTAAAAAGCATATATATATAGGATTAAATGTAATTGTTTTCATGGGGAAAAAAAGTTTACGCTACTTAACGGTTTACGCGCGCGCACATGTGAACAAAAGACACTTTCACAACACTTTTACATGCGTTATAAAACACTAGGTTTGTAGTACTTACTTGGACATGATCGCTGTTCACTATGCCCGGTCGGATGCTTCCTGTCTCTTGGTACCTGTTGAGAATCTTGGACACGCAACCATGCGACACTTTGAGCTGCCTAGAAATGTTGCTGGGCCGCACGCCGGCCGCGGCCATCTCGACAATTTTCAATCGGACCAGATTGGGCAACGGTCGGCCGTTGATGAACGTACCGCCCAGCTGGTTTACACGCCCTTGGCCTAAACGGAAAATATTAAAATTACGCCCAATCATGGACCCATAATCAAATACTCTCCTCGAGAATTTTTTTTTCTAATGATTAATATACAAACATACTTATTGAGTTTTAACCCAATAACAGTATTTGATAAAATTAAAAATATCAAATTAGTTGTTAATAATTACAAAAATTACACCCTCTAAAATTTTACGGCCGGGGATGAATCCCTGTCTTCAACCCCCAAGTTCTGTCTCTGCATACGCATTATTATCATGTATTTTGCGATCCAATATCGTTCCGACAACTACCGCAGTCGTTGCAGATTCGAAAGTGTAAAATGAATACGATTATACGACGCAGTGCTTCTCGAACCGTATAGGGTTTGGCGAATCAACTTTTAGGTCTCTTTCACGCGGAAAGTTTTGGATACATCCATTATTGTCTGGCCGTTCTGTCAAGAATTTATTACATTTATTTCATAACGATTTAAGAAAATATGAAACTACGTCTTTTAACTATGTAAAAATGTCTGTAAATTCAACTTCAAGCAGATTTAACGGATCAAAAAACAAGTACAAGAGAATATATTTCACCAATTATAGTACCTAATAAAATTAAGTTGCATTTATTTTTTGTGTCATGAATATAATACTCACTACGAATAAAGTTCTATCTTGCCGACCGATTTTCGATTTCTATACTGAACTTTCTGTGTTAAAAAATATTGACAACGTCAACTCATGCCACTGACAATGAGTCAAATTAAAAGAAAGTGCGTTTCTACATTACAACAATAGAAAGTTTAAACTATTTTGGTCGTGTGTTTAGTATGTTTGGTCGCGCAAACTTCTGCGTGGCACGGCCGACCCTAATTTAATTATTATTATCTAGTGGTGGCGCTACTTTTGCGGCTTCGTGTGAAAAAAGTTATACTATTCCGCGAGAAGTTTGTGCTTTCAAAACTGTATAAATATATATTTTATGTATTGAGTATCATGCATCCAGTTGCGGATTAGGGAGCAGGCTAAAAGGCCTATAGCCTAAGGCGGCTTTCTTTTTATAGAATTAAGTGTTATTATTGACATATTAAGTATATTTATTTTAATATATTTTTTTTTTATATTTGTCATATAAACACGAATAAAAATTATTTTAAAAAGTTATAATAATATATTAATATGTACATTTTATGATGCGTACCTGTAGACTATAGTAAGAATATTACAATTATTATTACAGCTTGAAAATATTTCATTTGTAATAAAATAATTACAATTAGTTACTAGTTATTATTAATAACTTCTTAGTACCTATGTACTTATAGGGAACATCCGACTATCAGAGTATAGGTATTTTCATATCTGGCTATTTATATTTCCATTTTGTGACTGTATAAGCATTGTTTATTTGTACTGATAATAATGGTATCTGAAGTAAAATAATAGACATGAAATATTTTATTTTTTATTCTATTTTAAAGATTTTATATTTAATATACATTTTTTTTTTTTTTTTTTTTTTTTTTTTAATAAAAAAAACTGAATAAAATTTGAAGATAAGAGTTTAGACCAAATATTGTTGGTTCCTTAGTAGAGTGATTAAGCCTAGGAGCGCCAAAACGCTAAATCTGCCACTGCATGCATCTCGATTATCGTCCCCCTCAAAACTTCATATACCATTTCTATATTACCGTGCAATGCTGACCTCTATAACCATAAGAGTCGCGATTTGTTTTCGCAGAATATTCGAACCATGCAGATAAAAATGTTGTAAAGCACCATGTAGATTCTCGTGTGCGTGTTTCTACATTAATAGCGACCTATCAATAAAGCCCGGGATTCGTCGATAAGTTGTCGCGAGTGTTTCGAATAGCCGTTTTTCCAAGATTCGATCAATGCGTGTTCGTCGACGGTGTCTTTGAATGTTTCACAAGTATTGAGTTGTAACGTAAACAATTAAACGAGACTTTTTCTTTTTTACCCCGTCCAACTCGCTATACACCAGTTGAAACGTAAATGTACCGCTGTAAATGGACTTTTACTCGAGTTGTGTTTACCATTTTACGTGTACACAAAATATACCGATGGTTGGCACACTTGGCAAATAACCAATGAAAACAGCATTAGATACTTTGCACAGTACGCGTTTGAAATACCGTTGTCGAAAAGGATTCAACCGCATATGATTTGCCGACTGGTTAACGCGTTACGTTTAGTGCAATGCGACTGATAAACACTAAAACCGTTGTAGGTAAATTGATGTACTTTTTCGTCGAAATGGGTATCACGTTTTTGTCCTCGCAAAAGTTATACGACCGCAATGCTTTGATATATTGTTTAAACGAACCGAAACGCATCGACGAGAACACAATACGAAATACAAAATTCAACGAAACGTTTGCGCTAAAGTTTGAGTTATGATAATGATTTTTGTTAATAGTGTTGGTTTGAATGGTATTGTTCCAAACGTAATTTTAATTATCGACGCAATGTTATAAAATAAATAAATTGTGTATTGAAAGATGCATGGTTTTATGCCAATGTGTTTTCAATAATTATGCAACGCCATCAGAGAAATACAATGATTGTACAATAAATTATAATATTCAGTAGTGGATGACCAATTAATATTATTACCGCGTAACCGCAAAAAGCAGCTACCAGCTGGACAGTAATTGCGTTGCACATTGTTATTGCGATGCAATAAGTCGACTGTTTAAAGTGATCGAAGAAAACATTTATTTTTCTCGTTAGAACAGCATAAATATACTTTTAACTATAAACTTGTGCATTTATTTTCCGCCATTATTATTCACGTACTCGCTGCAGGTATTGTGGTTGCGGTGCTAGAGGTGCATGTTATTCAACTTGAAATAAAAAAAGGAAAAAACCATTTGACCGATTCCACGTAGTCGATTCGAGACCAAAGTTATTATACGTACGATTGACTGTGCATATTTAAATGAGACGTCGCGCAAATGATTTAAAACTCGAATCGCATCACTCAAAATTATATAGAACATATTATGCTACAGTCGTTCGTATATTGGAGGTGTCAAGAAAATACAGAGCATATATATACGTTACGTGGTTAATTGCGGTTTTCATTTTCGAAAAGCGAAAAACATAAAAAAAAGAGTAGGTATGTTTATGTTCTGAAAACTAATTTGGTTGTCTCGTGATAACACACGGTAAGCACAGTTCTAAAACCCATATTACCCAATTCGATTTATATCGTATACTTATCAAAACCAATCGAAACCGCAGTACGGTTATTGTGGAAAAGTGATTGTACGACCTTTACGGAGGACTAAAGTGGTGAGCTTGCGACAATCAAAATTTGATCGGGACCGGATATAGCGCTCTGAAAATACGAATTCCGAGGGACTACGATACTATGTAACAATAACATAAACCGTATAGTGGCGCGATAAACGAATACGAGAATAGAAGCAAAAAGAAGATCTGGGTGCAATCCACTATACGTAATCATCCGATCTGTTTCAGATCAATACTGTCAAAATTCTAACGATACATTGGTCGTGAAGAAACGGTTGGATGGGTTCTTACCTTGAAACGTGAATCCGTTGTAATGCGCAGAGTACATGTTTGGCGAAAATATTGTTACGATGTTAAAGGCACTGCAGGGTGCGTCGTCGCAGGTCGGCGAACAGCCAGGTTACATTACTGCACCATTCGCCTAACACATCATCATCATCATCATCATCATCATATAATCGTCGAGCGCACGCGCCACCGCGGGGCTATTGTTCCGGCCCCGCGCGGGAAACGGTGTCCAGCAAACGTTGACGGTGTTCCGCGCGTGCACACACCTCGACCGCGTCCGCGACACTACGACCGTCGTGCGCGATAACCGTTAGCAGCGCGGGTTCAAACAAACGAAATTTGCAAAAAAAAATTAAAATCGACGACGACGACGAAGCAGTAGTTGCGACGACGGTGGCGATGTAATAACGCATAATACCGTGTGGATAATTATCGCGATGGTACGTACGCGCAAACGGCCATGTTTTCGTACTAGGTTCCGTTCGCAAGGGGCACCTAGGGGACCCCTCGCGCAAAAGGCCGCGGCGAGCTATTGGCTGCCGGTCGCGGAATGGGTGTCAACCCACGTGGTCCCCTCGCGCGCGCGCGCGCGCGGACAACGCTCGTACGCGCGCGCCCACCGCCCGAACAATACGGACGCGCCGGCAAACGATGTACGTTCACAATTACGTGCCTTTTGTGACTCTTTCCCTCCGCTCTTCTCGTCACCGCACGCGCACAGTTCCTCTGTCGGCTTAGGCGTGATCGTTTGAAAAAAAAAAAAATAAAATAAATATATATATATTAAAATAAAACATTCAATAATTACCTCCTCGACTCGTAAACGCACGCGCATCATTTACAACGACCCGGCACGGCGGTACCCGGGTTTAGCATTTCTAATGGGTTCGAGTTCAAAGAACGCACCGCGCGCACATTGTCTACACCACCGCCGCCGTCCGTGTTCGTTATGGAAATTCGTCTCGAAGCGTTGGCGGCAGCGCGCAGCTTACACACGCGCACGGATACGGCCGTGACGTCACACGTCGTCGCCGGTTGTCGTAAAAACAATGGGAGAAATCAAACGAACCTGCGACACCGGTCGCACGGGACTCGAGACCGACGGACGGACATCAATAAACGGGCACGTACCCGCGCGGCTGGCCCACAATACCCGATCGATAAATGTGATGCGCGTACGCGTGCACACCAATATATCTCACCCGTGTGCCCGTCGTCCGCGACGATTACCGACCCGAAGGCCGTTCGGGTAACAAAAACGCGTCGTAAATAAGAGACGCGCTCGATAACCACCTCAAATCCGTTTCGTTATTAACGGCTGTGCGTATCACGCGCGGTCCGTGCAACGGTAGGGATGTGCGGTGGTGGTGACATATCGAATCCTGATATATGTGTACCCCGGGCAGCGGACGTCATAATCGAAAAGCCAAAGTGTACCCGGGCCACCCTGTGCGAATCGAATAAAAAATAATGAAAAAAAAAAAAAACCAAATACAAACCAAGTCGATTTCGGGATTGTTCCGCGTTGCACGCGGTTCCGGATTTAACGCGCGGCATTACTATTATTGAAAAATACGGATACGACCACGTGTCGAACGTTCGTGTGTTATTATTGCAGTCATCGTGCGTTCATTTCACGTTTACGACGTTAAAACAAACTGTTGTACTCGGATGTGTATCACAGTATATTGAGTCGTTCAAAACTATAAATGTACCATATTTTTATACGTAATATAATAAATTATGTTCCGAAATAGTTATTTTAAACCGTGTATTATACCGGTCGATTCGAATAACAATATCGTTGAAATCTAATCGATCGTTGATTATATTAGTGTACACTCATTGTACACGTTCGTACCTCGCGGTTTGAATATAAAATATAGCCATTGTCGTACGCGTATATTGCAAAATTCACATCGCTTTATCCACTATGAAAGACCATCTGCTTAGGCGCATGCCTTATATAAGGACTTGGGCGGAATCATCGACGGTTATACAGCATATTAAATGCACAAGTATGTATACGTATACATGTGGTCTTTGCTTTCGTCGGTGAGTAGACAACATTTAACGTCGTGCACGTGCACGTCTTTGAGAGAAGACGAAATGGTCAAGGCGGTCATTGTTGTCGACACTTCGACAGCTATTTAATGCTATACTAATAATGAACAACAATAAATACGAGTACTAATTTGATTACCATGGGAGAGAACGAAATAAAATTTAATAAACGATCCGTCGTAAAATTGCGAGCGATTGCACGTCACTATAAGCTTGTGTAATACTATTCTATCTTTATACGACTTGTGTAAATCATAAACATCGGGAAATTCTATTTCTCGGAAGAAGTTAAAAACTATCCGGCAGAACTTTCATTCCATGAAGTTGTCCTTGCAGCGAGCTTCGATAGATTGAGTGCGAGAATAGCAAATAATTGTTAAAAGTTGGCATGTGTATTTCCGAAATCCGTAAACCCGAATCACGGGCAGTTATCGTTGATTTAAAAAAAAAATAATTTCACGCAGCCTCGAAAAATTGTCGCAGATTGTGCAGCCCGATCTCGAACCATTCCTTACGGTTAGCAATTAATTGCCGACAACTCGTGAACCCTGGACGCATTAATTTTCGACTACACCAAAGTAATACTTAAGAAAACCACGCGCATAAAAGTGACCGTAAGATATTAATATTATTACAGTCGCTAACCGATTACAGCGGCAATTATTCGATTTCTCAGTGAAATGTGCGTGAAATATGCGTCTATACCTATTACAACATTACCGTCGGTAATTAATCTTGGTCCGATCGAGCAATGCGAGCGATACTGACGTACGGCAGACGAATAACAATTGTAGTACAATCCATACGGGTTTTTTATGTATAAAGTTTTGGCAACGTATGGCATTTACGCGATGATTAATGGAGTCGGGGACGAATTTCTCGTCCGGGGCGACCGTGATTGAAAATTCGAGACCCTTGTTCGTACAAATGATAAACACGCGTTTACAACGCACAACTGTACGAATCGAACACGGAATCGCCGTACGGGCGGTGCGGTGAACGCGGTATACGTGCAGGTAACGCCGACGCCGTACGGCTGCAAAGGGAAATCGGATAGAAGAAAAACCGAGGAGGAGAAGAGCGCGAAGTGAAATATTGTAATAAAAAGAAAGAAGAAGAAAAAAGCCGTCGTCGTCGTCGTTGTCGTCGTCGTCACGGTGCGTCCGCGGTGACGGCGGATTTCGCGCGGTGTCGGGGGGTCGCGTGTCTCGGACGCGCAGCTGTACCCCAGGTCACGGACGTTAAGGGTTTAACTTAACACGCCGTTGTAGGAGGTCCGAATTCGATATGGACACATTGCACGCGATGCATAAGGCCGAAAACGCGTTTTGTGCGCCGTTCATTATTACGGTAATGTTCGTACGCGTACCACCGCGTATTGTAACGTGTATACGTGTGCGATATACATTATCATTCGTCTCGCGGGGTAGGTGCGCGCTGTATCTGCGATTTTCTTTCATTCTTTTTCTCTTTTTTTCCCCTTTTTTTTTTTTTTTTTTCTCGCCCGAAACGCAATTGCTACGACGCTGACGTGTTTATTATTTACGCGCGGCCGGAATGCCAAAACACGCCGGGGGCACGTGCAACTGCAGTGTACGCAATGCGCTGCTGCTACGACCAAAAATATCTCCGACAAAATCTAATTATCCGTTATTTTTTTTTTTTTTCTTATAATTTTCTGTTTTTTTTTTCTTCGTCAAACAGCTCGTGCGCGATCAAAAAAAAAAAAAAACAATAATTTATACTCGCGGTGTTGTACTATCAATCATAACAGCCGCCCGCAGTAAATCCCGCAGCGCAGCGTAAACGACTGCGATCGCGTACGATAAAATAATAATATAACACTCACCGCGCGTACCGATATTATGCAAATCGTGTGTAAAAAAATACACTATTCGCCGACTAGTGTCAACGAAACGACCACGCTGATATAACGGTGTGCGAATACGCTATGATTGTAAATATTTATTAATTAATCAATTGCCGAGTCAAAGAAACAAATGTAATACTTTATGGATAAACTTAACTTTAACTGGCTGAATTACTCGCCCGGGAGGTATTTTTAATATTATTTGAGATTAGAGCAATTAGGTACTGATATTTAATTTAAAAATTGTTGGTTGAAAAAATGCACAATCTTCTTATCTAAATTATAATGTTTATTGTTATCTATTCGTACTTGTATTTTAATTTATATAACGATGTACGTACAATCTCGATCGGTAGTTATTAAGAATTTTAATTTAAAATCAACACATTTAAAACGCAACTGGTGTAGAGATTTGTTAATAATATATAAAAAAAAATATATAATAATAATAATATAAATATAGATATATGTATAAATTAATATAATCTCAATTAAAAGTGTCATCACTGGTTGGCTGCTTTTATCAAGCTTATTCATGTATTTAATCTAACTTAGTAAATACTTTTATTGTACCCTTAGGTATAAATTGTGTATGTAATAATAATAAATAAAAAAAAAAAAATCAACACATTAATCAAAAAGTAAATTATTTCCTAAGCGACCAAAAAGTGAAAAATGTATTCATCCAGCTCAAAACTTTTTGAACCCTCAAAAATGCGATTTTCAAAAAATTCCTCCCAATCGCACATCTAGATAATGTAAAAGAATCGCTATTTCAAATTTCAAGTTCGTGAGTATTGTCATCGTTGACATCAACGAGTGATCGAGTAGTATTTGAATTTTATGTTTGTGTATTTATATATGTGCGATATGTATTACGATATTACTACCTGGAAGACCGATTCTATAACATTTAACGATTAAGTATGAACTGCGTTGTCGTGTCCCATATATAGGTACACGGTGCACACGGCCGATGTGCTGTACAACAATAAGTGTAACTGCAGCAGCGGCACCGCAAACGTGCACGATGACGCGAACACGACCGAGGACAACGTGTTCGTGAAAAATTACAGGGCCCCGGAGGATTTCGTATATTATTTTACGTACGCGAGGAAATTATAATGATAATAGTAACGCGGCTAAAAGCGCTGCGTTATTATTTTTTTTTCCTACACTTTTAAATAATTGCGTTGAGGATATTTACGTACACATGTATTTACATATTATACGCCGGTCGTAAAACTCGCGCCCGCCGGGCCTCGACACCCGCGGAATATCAATTTAACAACAACGCCGTGCGGTCGTTTCGCGTACAATATCTCGTGTAATGTGTACGCGTAGGAATACCTAAGATATGTATACTCGTATAATATGTGTACACGAACGAGCGCTAAAATAATATGATTGATAAGTGTCATTAAACGCTGGAAAATTAAAAAAAAAAAAAAAAATTAAATTAAAAAAATCAACCGGCACGTGTTTGCAGCCCGATGTACCTGTATATACGTTATTATGTACGATATAGTTGGTTGGCGTAGTGATTTTTTTTTTTTTTACCTCCCAAAAGTAATTCATCAAACGATTTAATGGCTCAGGTGGTTGCGTCATCGACGACCGACAAACCGGAGAGAAGACGCGCTAACAACCTATACACATAGGCACTGAACACGTATCTACGTTGTGCCTACACAGCGCGCGTTCAATTTTATGGTGCATTATAATACCCACTCGGCTCGTACGGTAACGGTTGCGTGAGGTTCGAAACTGGCTTCTGGTCACGCCGGACCGTTCGGTTAAACAAACATTTTTTCCAATAATATCGGTAACGGCGTAAATAGCGTGTGTGCGCGCGTGCGTGTAACACATAGTTTTAATAACATAACTAACTTGTGCGTACGTCTAATAATATACATATTGACACGGTGATTTGTAAGGGAAAAAATAATGTTGGCCGATTAGACGTCACGGTAATATTATTTCGAAGCGACCATTAATACAGTTGGTACGAAACGTATCGAACGAGAAAAAGAAACTAGATTTATTTTCCAAATGTACGTATGGCGCCGCAGAACGAA